GTACCTTGCAGTACAATTTCAGAGAGATCCATACACTTTAACACAAGTTATTGTCTGGAAACTAGAAAAATGCTTATTTTTGGCCTCTTTTTGGCCCCAAATTCCTAAACGTTTAGGGCAATTACCCCCAAACTCAAACCCAGCTATCCCTTTGTGATATGGAACCTTGTAGTACAATTTCAGAAAGATCCATACACTTACACACAAGTTATTGTCCTGAAACTAGAAAAATGCTTGTTTTTTGCCCCTTTTTGGTCCCTAATTCCTAAAATATTGAGGCAATTACACCCATCATCAATCCCAGCCTTCCCTTTGTGGTATGGTACCTTGCAGTACAATTTCAGAGAGATCCATACACTTGAACACAAGTTATTGGCTGGAAACTAGAAAAATGCTTATTTTTGACCCCTTTTTGGCCCCCAATTCCTAAACTTTTCTGCAATTACCCCCAAACTCAATTCCAGCTTTCCCTTCGTGATATGGAACCTTGTAGTACAATTTCAGAAAGATCCATACACTTACACACAAGTTATTGTCATGAAAATAGAAAAATGCTTGTTTTTTGCCCCTTTTTTGGCCCCTAATTCCTAAAATTTTGAGGCAATTACCCCCAAAATCAATCCCAGCATTCCTTTTGTGATATGGAACCTTGTGGTACAATGTCAGAGAGATCCATACACTAACACACAAGTTATGTCTGGAAGTTACAAAAATGCTTATTTTTGGCCCCTTTTTGGCCCCTAATTCCTTTACTGTTGGTACCATAACCCCCAAAATCAATCCCAACCTTCCTTTTGTGGTATTGAACCTTGTGGTGAAATTTCATAGAGATCCATTCACTTAAACTAAAGTTAGAGTGCGAAAACCAATGTGTCTTCAACCGACGCCAGACAACGCCGACGACGACGACGCCAACGTCATACCAATATACGACCACAAAAAATTTTTTGCGGTCGTATAAAAACAACAAAATTTGCTTAAAATTACCTATTCAGGGGCAGCAACCTAACAACGGGTTATCAGATTCATCTGAAAATTTCAGGGCAGATAGATCTTGACCTGATTAACAATTTTACCCCATGTCAGATTTGCTGTAAATGCTTTGGTTTTAGAGTTATAAGCCAAAATCTACATTTTTACCCTCCTATGTTCTATTTTTAGCCATGGTGGCCAACTTGGTTGGTTGGCGGGATGGCCGGACACATTTTTTAAACTAGATACCCTAATAATGATTGTGGCCAAGTTTGGTCAAATTTGGCCCAATTGTTTCAGAGGAGAAGATTTTTGTAAAAGTTTACGGACGACGGAAGCAGGACGCAGGACCCGGTGAGCTCAAAATGACAATATTTCTTTTAATTAATATTCTTGTACTGGCCTGATATTTGAGTACTTTTTATACCTCAGGATTGATTGTTAGACATCAAAGTGAAGAAATTTAAGTTTAAAATTGAAAAATTTGTTGTCGCATCAAAAAAAAGTGCCAATATTTTCCATTCTGTTAGAATATTATACAACAGCATTAAAATTCTGTTCTTTTTGTCCCTAAGAATGAATAGTTTTACACAAATTGAGAGCTCAGCTCTATAGTTCTACGGTTACTAATATTTATATCAATAACTATAAAATGCTCCGCAGGGTGCAGCTTGATACGACCGCAGAGGTCGAACCCTAAACAGTTGGGGCAAGTATGGACACAATATTCAAGCTCCATACAGCACTGAATTTGGATTGTGATTAAATATTTGACACAGCATAGGTTTCTGACATAGAATGAATGTGGTCTAAGAACTTAAAAAAATTTAATTTACCTATTCAAACCATATCATTATTATTTGCTTTTATATATAAATCAGAAATAACCAATTTAAAATGGAAAATTTTAAAGAAAAAAAAAGGAAAAAAAGGGAAAAAAAATCCCTCCCCAAATTTTTTTAACCCCCTTATGATTCATCACCCTCAAACTCAATCCCAGCCTTCCCTTTGTGGTATGGTACCTTGTAGTACAATTCCATAAAGATCCATACACTTACACACAAGTTATTGTCATGAAACTAGAAAAATGCTTGTTTTTTGCCCCTTTTTTTTGCCCCTAATTCCTAAAATTTTGAGGCAATTACCCACAAACTCAATTCCAGCATTCCCTTTGTGATATAGAACCTTGTGGTACAATGTCAGAGAGATCCATACACTAACACACAAGTTATGTCTGGAAGTTACAAAAATACTGATTTATGGCCCCTTTTTGGCCCCTAATTCCTTTACTGTTGGTACCATAACCCCCAAAATCAATCCCACCTTCCTTTTGTGGTATTGAACCTTATGGTATAATTTCATAGAGATCCATTCACTTAAACTAAAGTTAGAGTGCGAAAACCAATGTGTCTTTGGACGACGATGACGCCACCGGACGACGACGCCAACGTCATACCAATATACGACCCCAAAAATTTCTTTGCGATCGTATAAAAAACAGACCCAAACACAAAAACTTAACATTGACCAATGAACCATAAAAATGAGGTCAAGGTCAGATGATACCTGCCAGGCAGACATATACACCTTACAATCATTCCATACACCAAATATAATTGACCTATTGCTTAATATGAGTACTTGAAAAAAACAGACAAAAACACAAAAACTTAACATTGACCAATGAACCGTGAAAATGAGGTCAAGGTCAGATGATACCTGCCAGACAGACATGTACACCTTACAATCATTCCATACACTAAATATAATTGACCTATTGCTTATAGTACTTGAAAAACAGACAAAAACACCAAAAAAACTTAACACTGACCGATGAACCATGAAAATGAGGTCAAGGTCAGATCATACCTGCCAGACTGACAGGTACCCATTACAATCATTCCATACACCAAATATAGTTGATCTACTTCTTATATATATAGTATTTGAGAAATGGACCTTATCATGTAACTTTAACCTTGATCACTGATCCATGAAATGAGGTTGAGGACAGGTGAACTCCGTCTGTCTGATAGACATGTAGACGTTGCAAGGAACCCATATACTAAATATTAGGGATGTCAATGAGTACTTGAGTATTCAAGTATTGCTCCGTAGTGCCGAGTATCGAATACCAAAACTATACTCTACTAATTGGTTTCCTATTAGAATAAAGCTGTCTTCTTTATATAAAATTGATCTTCTTGAGTACCTCTTTTTGAAAATTAAGTAGGCATCACTGATTAATCATACTTGTAAATGAAATACATTTTGTTTCTAATGCTTGTGCAAAATTGTCATTTAAAATGCCTTCCAAAATACATGGGCTATACCTAGGCTAACATTTTAAACTAAACATGTCTTAGCCATTCCGTCACATCGGTACCATCAGAACAAATATTTTCGTCTGCAAGACTGTAAGTTGCAAAACCGACTGTCCCAAATAATAGTTGACAAGAAAATATTTCCAAATAAATTAAATACATTGCATCCTATGGTGACCCTCAGCGAATAGTTCAACTTCTAATCCTTACACCTTTGTAAACATTAAATGTGTTTTCTTAACGATTACCAAATACTATTGTTTGATATGGTTTTTCCTTGTTATAATTTTTGAATAGGTGTTCATTAAATTATATTAGATTAGATTATTGTTTTTTTACTTAATTAGTACTTTTAGGTAATGAGCTATTAATTATTGTGTGTATTCTCTGTCCCAGATACTTATGTAGATGGTTTTTCGTCCGTTGAACAACACACCACAGAATATAAAATACGTATTTTTTTGTTTCCATGTTGTCAATATATTTCGGAGCGAGTACTCGAGTATCGCTCAATAAAACCAGCGAGTACTTGATTAGTAATTGTTCACAGAGTTGACATCCCTTCTAAATATAGTTATCCTATTACTCATAATAAGTGACAAATTCACATGACAAAAAAACTCCATTTTTTTTTCAAGCAGTCGCTGAACCATGAAAATGAGGTCAAGGAAAATGGACATATGATTGACGGAAACTTCGTAACATAAGGTATCTGCAGACAAGATATGAAGCATCCACTGTCTTCTACCTTCTGAAATATAAAGCTTTATACAAATAGTTTATGCCGCTGCCGGATAGTAATACCTATGTCTTGCATACTGCTAATTTTGTCGAAGGCGAGACAAAAATCATGCTTTACCACAACTCTATCTAAATCATTACAGTGACTTGATTGTAAGTGTTACTATCCTGCACCTTTTGCAGTTCATTCGTAAATTCTGACCAAATTATAATTTGTTTCATCAAATCAAACTGTTCAATTGGTAAGAAATTTGAACATATCCAAGAAAGGTTGCAATCCTATATATAGTATTTGATTTAGCATCCGAAATACACTTTCCTGCACAAAGTTTCTACCATTTTTAGAAAGTTTGACCTTGACTTTTGACATACTGACCTCAATATCACTTTTACCTGTAATATATGTGATCATATTTCCAAGTAAGGTTGCTATCTCAGCTGATATAAAGTATTTAATTTGGTATCCAGAAACACAGATGACTGACGGGTTGATGGACAGACAGATAAAAAATTATGTATCTCTGCTAATTTGTTGATGCTTAGTCTATATCAGATACTGCAGATAAATGTATTTTTGAAGTTACCTATCTTTGTGGATTGAGGAAAAATTATATTTAAAAGAGTTCTTGATTTCATGCTTTAAATTAACAAAGCAAAGCATACAAGCCTATAGGAAATTTGTGTAATGCTGAACATTTAAATGTGTTGATCACATACACCCATGAAAAGGATGAAAATTAGTACCACATGAACTATGTACGGTATACATAATGAGCCCACAGTAAGTAGGTTTTACAAAGCAAATGCATTTTGGAGAAGGGCAGAAACATAAGACAGCCATTTGATATCACTAGTTTTTTGGTCTATATAATGGTCAGGGACAGAAAAGCATTACTGCAGACCCCCTACTGATCCCTTTTCAGAGAGTTAATTCATTTTTAACTCCTTTAACTATATAATTACCTCTAAATTATGTAAACGTTGTAACAGTTCCAAGCATTGGTTGCTGACACTTCCTTTTTCTTTAAGTTGTACCTTGAGCATGTTCAGTTCTTCTCTCTGATTGGTCAGATTATTACCAATCAGATTCTGTTTAGAATGAAGTTGTTGGGAGAGTTTATATTGAATTTGCAATTCTTTTTCATCTATCTGTAATGTAAATAAAACTTACATAATTGCCTTAGTATTAATGTTCCCAAATTTCAAGTAAAATCCCTTTCAAAATATTCTACATAAACTATGTTCATTGAAAGTATATTGCTAATATCAGTTTGTATGACTTGCCTTACCTCACAGGCAAAATAATTCTAATAGGACAATAAGAAATTTAGATCACATCAAATGTTTTTCAGCATTTTTTCAAGATATCATTTTCCTTTAATAAATATTACATCAGCTACCTTAGCTTTGTAGGTAAAAAAAAAAACCATCCAAAAAATTCCAGTAAAGACGTCTTTTAAACCATTAATTCAATATTTATAACTTAATGCAGCCCCAACAGGCTTTGTTAAATCCCAAATATAGATCAATATTCCACTTTTAGAAATAATAATGATAATGGTTTTATTGTTGAAACATAATTCTGAAACAGATGCCCTGAAGTAGATTCAGACTAAATTAAGCATACTTAAAGTACAAATGGTACACACTGACAGACAACATGTGCTAAGTGACTGCAATTCACTGTCTCGCACAATCCTTATATGTCTATAATTATATGATATAAAAATAAGGAGATGTGGTATGATTGCCAATGAGACAACTATCCACCAAAGGTCAAATAAAGTGGATCTAAGCAATTATAGGCAACCATACAACCTTAAACAATGAGAATAAAATGCTTCGCTGAGCGCAGCCTGATACGACCGCAAAGGTCAAACCCTGAACAGTTGGGGCAAATTTTGACACAATATTCAAGCTTGATACTATCTGAATTTGGATTGTGCTCAAATTTTTGACATAATATAGGTTTCTGACACAAAATAAATGTGGTCAAAGATCTTACAAATCTAATGTGCAATACTGTGCAATTGAAGATTTCTTCCTGAAGCTTTTCAAAAATTAGAAATTCTAAAAATTTGGGGAAAAAAATATGAACCCCTAAAAAAATTGGAACCCCTCGATCCCCCCAAACTTTTCGAATCCCCCTTGGAGCATTAACCATCAAACTCAATCCCAGTCTTCCCTTTGTAGTATGGAACCATTGTAAGGGAGATAACTCTAATGCAAAAAAAATAAAATGCTTCGCTGGGGCGCAGCTTGATACGACCGCAGAGGTCGAACCCTGAACAGTTGGGGCAAGTATGGACACAACATTCAAGCTTGATACAGCTCTGAATTTGGATTGTTATTAAATATTTGACACAGCATAGGTTTCTGACACAGAAAGAATGTGGTCTAAGAACTTGAATTTTTTTAATTTACCTATTATGGTCCAATGTCCAAAATCAAAATACATGGTTAGATTCAGCATATCAAAGAACCCCATATATTCAATTTTTGTTAAAATCAAACAAAGTTTAATTTTGGACCCCAACTTGGACAAACTTGAAAACTGGGCCCATAATCAAAAATCTAAACACATGTTTAGATTCAGCATATCAAAGTACCCCAAGAATTCAATTTTTGCTAAAATCAAACTAAGTTTAATTTTGGACCCTTTGGACCTTAATGTAGACCAATTTAAAAAACGGGACTTAAAATTAAAAATCTAAATACACGGTTAGATTTGGAATATCAAAGAACCCCAATAATTCAATTTTTGATGAAATCAAACAAAGTTTAATTTTGGACCCTTTTGACCTCAATATGAACCAATTTGATAGCGGGGCCCACAAATAAAAAATCTAAATTCATGGTTAGATTCAGCATATCAAAGAACCCCATATATTCAATTTTTGTTGAAATCAAAAAAAGTTTAATTTTGGACCCCAACTTGGACCAACTTGAAAACTGGGCCCATAATCAAAAATCTAAACACATGTTTAGATTCAGCATATCAAAGAACCCCAAGAATTCAATTTTTGTTAAAATCAAACTAAGTTTAATTTTGGACCCTTTGGACCTCAATGAAGACCAATTTAAAAAACGGGACCCAAATTAAAAATCTAAAAACACGGTTAGATTTGGCATATCAAAGAACCCCAATAATTCAATTTTCGATGAAATCAAACAAAGTTTAATTTTGGACCCTTTTGACCTCAATATGAACCAATTTGATAGCGGGCCTACAAATAAAAAATCTAAATACATGGTTAGATTCAGCATATCAAAGAACCTCATATATTCAATTTTTGTTGAAATCAAACAAAGTTTAATTTTGGACCCCAATTTGGACCAACTTGAAAACTGGGCCCATAATCAAAAATCTAAATACATGTTTAGATTCAGCATATCAAAGAACCCCATATATTCAATTTTTGTTGAAATCAAACAAAGTTTAAATACTGGACCCTATCTTGGACCAACTTGAAAACTGGGCCCATAATCAAAAATCTAAACACATGTTTAGATTCAGCAAATCAAAGAACCCCAAGAATTCAATTTTTGTCAAAATCAAACTAAGTTTAATTTTGGACCCTTTGGACCTCAATGTAAACCAATTTAAAAAACAGGACCCAAAATTAAAAACCTAAATACACGGTTAGATTTGGAATATCAAAGAACCCCAATAATTCAATTTTAGATGAAATCAAACAAAGTTTAATTTTGGACCCTTTTGACCTCAATATGAACCAATTAGATAACGGGGTCCACAAATAAAAAATCTAAATACATGGTTAGATTCAGCATATCAAAGAACCCCATATATTCAATTTTTGTTGAAATCAAACAAAGTTTAATTTTGGACCCCAATTTGGACCAACTTGAAAACTGGGCCAAAAATCAAAAATCTAAATACATGTTTAGATTCAGCATATCAAAGAACCTCATATATTCAATTTTTGCTAAAATCAAACAAAGTTTAATTTTGGACCCTTTGGACATTAATGTAGACCAATTTGAAAACTGGACCCAAAATTAAAAATCTAAATACACTGTTAGATTCGGCATAACAAATAAATAAATGTGATCAAAGATTTTACAAATCTAATGCGCCATACTGTGCAATTAAAGATTACTTCTTGAAATTTTTCAATATTTGAAATTTGAAAAAAAAATAATATTTGAAGAATAATTCTTTTTAATTTCTGAAATCTGAAATGAGAAAAAATTGGCCCCCCACAATTTCTTTTTATCCCCCCCCCCCCCCCCCCCCCCCTTTTTCCCCCAAAAAAATTCTTTCCCTCAAGATATGGTCATAATCTTAATTCAAATTTCCAATGGAGTTGGCAACCATAATTACCCATTTAAATTAACCATAGTGCTAACTTAATCTATTTTATAATAGAATTAATAAAAATATAGTGTCAAATCTTTCATATGGATTTTTTTGTAAAAAAAAAAGATGAAAACATTTGCAGATATTTTTACTGGTCTTCCTTTATAAATATGCATTTCTTTAAACATAATTTAAAAGCAGTGTAAGGGAAGTAACCAAAACATTGTATTTGGATTACCTCCCTTACACTGTTTTAGATTATCTTTATTGTTCATTAACCATTACTTTATACATAATTTAAAAGCAGTGTAAGGGAGATAATTTCAATGATGTATTTGATTTATCTCCCTTACACTGCTTTAAATTATGTTTTGTACTAAAGTATTTGTCCATTAACCAGGACAACCTTGTTTTTCCCCCTTTTTTGCCCCTAATTCCTAAACGGTTTGAGCCATACCCCCCAAAGCAAATCCTAACCATCCCTTTGTGGTATGGAAACTTGTAGTATAATTTCAGAGAGATCCATACACCGTTCCACAGTTATTGTCTGGAAACTAGAAAATGCTCATTTTTGGCCCCTTTTTGGCCCCTAATTCCTTAACTGTTGGTACCATAACCCCCAAAATCAATCCCAACCTTCCTTTTGTGGTATTTAACCTTATGGTCAAATTTCAAAAAGATCCATTCACTTAAACTAAAGTTAGAGTGCGAAAACCAATATGTATTCGGACGACGACGACGACGACGCCAACGTCATACCAATATACGACCACAAAATTTTTTTGCGGTCGTATAAAAACCAAACAAAGAATAATCAATTCGGAGTATAAAAATTTATTACCACTGAACCCTTTGATATACACTATTATAATATTATATGTATTTAAATCACAGTATTTAATGTTTCTAGAAACAGCTAAAAAATATTTCATACTAGAACTAGCAAACAAATAGCAAAAAGTGCCAACATAAAGAAACAAAGCCAAAGTAATTGTCCATTAACAAGGAAACCCTTGTTTTCCCCCTTTTTTGCCCCTAATTCCTAAACAGATTGAGCCATAACCCCCCAAAGCCAATCCTAACCATCCTTTTGTGGTGTGGAAACTTGTGGTACATTTCAGACTATTCTATACACTGTTCCACAAGTTATTGTCTGGACACTAGAAAAATGCTTATTTGGACCCCTTTTTGACCCCTAATTCCTAAACCATAGGGACCATAACCCCCAAAATCAATCCCAACCTTCCTTTTGTGGTTTCAAACCTTGTGTTTAAATTTCATAGATTTATATTACCTACTACTAAAGTTAGTGGCAAATTCCCAATGGAGTTTATTATACTAAAGTTATTGGCAAATTTCCAATGGAGTTTATTAATACTAAAGCTATTGGCAAATTTCCAATATACATAATTTAAAAGCAGTGTAAGTGAGGAAATTCAAATGTGTTTGAATTACCTCCCTTACACTGTTTTTAAATTATGTTTTGTCCTTAAGTAATTGTCTTTTAACCTGGAATCCCTTGTTTTCCCCCTGTTTTGCCCCTTACTCCTTAACCGTTTGAGCCATAACCCCCCAAAGCCAATTCTTACCAACCCTTTGTGGTATGGAAACTTGTGGTATAATTTCAGAGAGATCCTTACACCATTCCACAAGTTATCGTCTGGAAACTAGAAAAATGCTTATTTGGGCCCTTTTTTGGCCCCTAATTTCTAAACTGTTGGGACCAAAACTCCCAAAATCAGTCCCAGGCTTCCTTTTGTGGTCATAAACCTTGTACTTAAATTTCATAGATTTCTATTTACTTATACTAAAGTTATTGTCCGGAAAC